TAAGACACGCTGATATGTTTCAATACACAGCAAACAGCATAATAATAATAATAAACTGAAATTCAGCCATAACTTACCACTAACTTCTTCTTTAAGGAAAGGCATCATTGAAGCAGAACATTTTTCAATGATGTATGAGCACGCCTGTTCCATAAGTTCACCGTCCATACCAGGAAAACTCTTCATGTCTCAATCTAGGGACCACATCCCCAACGTCATCTAAAATTGTTCCTATAAAGAAATACATCACACAAGTTCCATGAACTGCATAACAATGTCATATTCAAACATAAGAAATATATATATGACTATTAAACCTTAGTTATGTCAACAACTTGTAATATAAGCAGTAAATCTGACAAATCTTCCAAAAACTGTAAGCAAAGAAAATCCTCGGTTCATGCAAGATCCAATATACAGGTAACCCTCGATTTGCGCCAATTCAGAATAACGAGAGACGGTCCCTGAAACGTCGGGTTTTATTGTTTGACCGTTTGAAGCGGCTGATCACCTGAGAAGATTTTATTGAGTTACGCCACTGTGAAAGCTTCAAATCATAGATTAAAACATAATTACAAATAATAAAGTAAAAATGATATAAAAACCATCATACAACTCAACAAGCTGCAATATTAATTAATAAAACAGCCAATAGAGTGTACCTGATGTTTAGAAAGGCATTGCTCCTGACGCTAACAGTAAAGTAGTCTGCAGTGGTGAGGATGTCAATACCATGAGGAAATGTTCCCTGTCTCCCAACATTCTCTTGGAATGCAGCCGAAGCTGCTCTCCGACAATTGATCTAAATATGGAAAACAGAACCAAGACTGTTTACACTATTGTTGTGACATCTATGTGATCCACATGATGCTGAAGTACAACGTTAACACCTATTAGGATGAATATCGAGTAATAGTTCAGCGGCAGATTATAATACTTATTCAGTATTAATATCTTTCTGAACTATTAAACAAAATCAAACTCATGGAATCAATACTGAATGCACTTTGGCATTCTAAATACCCCTAGCTACTCTGAATAGTTTTTATCACTAAATAAACACACACATAAATTTTTGCCTTTCTGCTTTACTATTTAATTCATTTACCAGTCGAGGCCATTGAAGGTAGGGAAGTCTGATAACATACCGCTGAGATAATCGTACTTTGCTATTCTCCTACTAGCTTGATTTTGTTTTTTATTAATGTACAAGGATTACATTAGCAATCTTACAAACCAAATTATTTCAGCGGTACGTTATCATACTTCCCTACCTTCACTGGCCTCGACTGACTCAGGATAACATTGGAGGACATGATTCCTATTCGAAAGTTGTTCTCTCCGAGTCCCTCTATACGCTCCTTCATTTTTTCAGCAACCTTTTGAATCACCCTGTGTGTGTGTGTGTGTGTGTGTGTGTGTGTGTGTATATATATATATATATATCAACATCTCTTCTAACCCAATACTAGAAAGAAAACTATTAATTAAACAAAGTACTTTATCATCCTCACCAAGGAAGAATAATAATAATAAAAAAACACACCCAGAAATCCACATGCATTTCACTGTTGTTAGCCTTTATCAAAGCATCCTAGGTTGACATCCCTCCTTAAAATTAATTTATATATGGTACTTATCTTTGATTTTTTACACTGTTGATTTCCATCTTACGGACTATGAATATTTGACATCAACCTCTTTTTAATCTTTAAAGTTTGGCTAGTTTCACATGTTAGGCTGATACAGCTAATCCTATTTATCTGGCTTTGGCTCTCAGAGGGCTGTTATGGCACGGATTATTATTACACACCTAGAGCCACCTACTCATTCTATTAATCTAAATTATTTTCTTATGAATCATGGTTTACTCTATTAAATTTTGTGATCTGATACTGGTCTCCTGGGTTATTTCACTGTGTAGCCACGTGGTTGTAACCAATGTTTTAGACGGTTTAAATGAGAAGCTGGTGGTTATATATGGTTGGATGGAAGATCAGGACCAGTCTTGAACAAGAAGTACATTCCATCAAAACATTGCTACAGCTGGGAGACAAAACAGCGTAAGAACCCACAAGTCCACTCTCTAAACTCAGATCACTGTAAAAAACCTGAAATCTCACATAAAATAATCATATTAACACACGTACCATCCTAATTTTTTTTGTTATTAAATTTCAGGCTCATAAAAATGAATATGCAACGAACACTTACCTCTCTGTCAAACACCATTATTGCCATCAAGTCTTCTCCAATAAATTTCCCAAATTCTTGAAGAACAGTAGTGTAATTTGCTTCTGCAAATGTCAAGCAGACATGGCACGCAGCTGATCGGATGTCTGCTGCGAGTCAGGCATAGCCTGGTCCATCATAACCCAGAGCTTGAAAAATTATTGGTATAATGGCATTTAGTCGCTCTTGTGGAAGTCGTCCCTTGCGACACAACTCTGCCACAGCAAGGCATCCTCCGTGCCATGCCTCACAAGACTCTGGTGGATGGAACACTTCCAGAACAGAACCGACTAATTCATCTGCCTGTTCCTCGCGAAGTCGTCCTGCCAATCTACGGATACCTTCTCCAAATGCCGAGCAGGCATGGCACGCAGCTGATCGGATGTCTGCTCCCACTGAGGCACAGCCTGGATCATCATACATCAGAGCTTGAAATATCACCGGTACAACTTCATCCAGTCGCTGTGGTACAAGCAGTTCCCTGCGACCAAACTCTGCCAGAGCCAAGCATCCTCAGTGCCATGCCCTATCAGACTCCGGTGGATGGAACAGTTCCAGAACAGAACCGACTACACCGTCTGCCCGTTCCTCGGAAACTTGTCCTGTCACTCTACCAATACCTTCTGCAGATGACGACCTAAAATATAACATGACTGAACATAAAACCTCTTTCAACCACTGAAACTGTAAGTCAGTCGCATATGAGAAACTTTACTGGGGTTACAATAAATCTCAACCACATACTAGTATTATCATTTTAACATCCTACCCTTCTGTTATTGTTATCACATTGACTGCAGCAATTCTATGTTAGTAGTAAAGTACATATTTGGCTGTGGAGAATATTTGGACTGAAGACTAGAGGACGTTACACAAGGACGAGCATCATAAGTTGTACTCCAAGTCAAAGAGGATGAGATGGGCAGGACATGTAGCCTGCATGGGAAAGAAGAGGAATTCATACAGGGTCTTGGTTCGCAAGACAGAAGGAAAGAGACCACTAGGAAGACCAAACCAAAGGTGGGAGGATAATATTAAAATGTATCTAGAGAAACAGGATAGGAATCAGCTGGCTCAGAACCATCCACATGTGCAGACACTGTGAATGTTGTTCACAAGGCAAGTGACAGAAATTCAGATAAATCTTTCCAATGATTAATGCA